AATGTTTATACACACACACACACACACACACATATATATATATATATATATATATATACAAACAATCAAAATTTAAATGAAAGCCAAAAGCACATTTATAGTCACACCTTTTAGCCATCCACATACCATTTTTAGCCATCCACCGCGGTAAAAATAAACCAGTCGCATTGCAAAGTCGTTCGCGAAATGACCGCCAGGTGGCGCAAAGGGACATTTAGCAAAACGTAAGTGGGGCTAATGTCTATTAACAGTAGCCTAAGGATGAAATACTACAAGTTATGGTAATTTCCAAATAAGCCTACAACAAATTGTTGGTCATACAGATAAGATATAATCTTTTAAAACTTTAAAAGGCTAAAGTAGGCCTACACTCGCACAGGCTAAAGACAAAACGTTTTCTCGCTCATGTCAGAAACAGACGTTTGGGTATTTCTCAGTGAGAAAATTCATAGCTGAGCGGTAGAACTTACGGTTCATCATCAAGATGACACGGGTTCAAATCCCGCACAAACATGGTCTGCTGTAAATTTTATATTTATTATTGCAAAGAGATTTGTCTAGCTCTAAAACTCTGTTACACCATACAGTTTTTTTTTTTGCTTATATTTATAAAATACAATTATCATGCATTTCCATTTTACACTAAGTAAAAATACAAAAAAACAAAATAGTATCCAACAGAACGACTTTGCATCTGTATAATAATAGGCTACCAATCGTAATTTCAAAAGCAGTTCTGTAAAAAAATAAATGATATATAGCCTATATATATAGGCTATATATATATTATTTTTTTTATTCCAGGCTCTCACGCCACACCCCCGATTTCTCACGCTGAAGTGTCAACCCGGTCGGTCAAATTCCTGAAGGATATAGTTTATCTATAGATCTACCTGTTGAGCCACTCGTGATCGACTAGTTATACCGCAAATTAGTTAAAATATCCCGTAATCTATCTAGAGCGAGCGTGCATGCGAGACAGATATTGTGCTCCAAACCGTGCGCGCGCATGGCAGAGAGGTCTGTTCCCTACAACCTAGAGTTTTTAAAAACATGGTTTTAAGTAAAGTGTGATTTGCCAGGGGGGATTGTGATTTCCTTCTGGTCTAAACATCCCTACTTCTGCTGAATTATTTTAATCCCCACACCCCTCCCTCCACAGCTAATCAATGCTATAGGCTACTTCACCAATATCAAATATATAAAATAGAGATATGCAACAGGCACGTTTAAACGACAAACAATAAAATCAAAACCAGCGTTTCAGTTGTTCATTAGTTCCAGTGGCCTTAATGCATGCACGGCTTTTCAAAATTTCACAAAGCGTGTTGAGATTATTTTGAATGAAATATTGAAGTTTATAATTAAGTGTTTTGGCACACCACGCCGAGTGGCCCTATGCATTTTTCTAAAGTCGGGTTTTATTCTGGCATGGTGAGTTAGTGTTCGACAAACACGGCGGCGCGTTCATTTAGACTAATTTATTTTTCTCATTATTACAGCTAAAATAACTTAGTAGGCGACTCCGTAATTTTTTGGTCATACAGATAAGAGTAGAGTAGCTTACATCGTTCAAAACTGTAAACTTGTATTCATATTAGGCTAACGACAAAAACAGTATAGGCTATCTGTCGTCTCTGTCTTCGGGAACTGCGCGTCACAAAAATGAACCGAAAGCCACTTCAGCTCAGTCACGATAAGAAATCGGCTATGTCTAAAGCCTTTAAATGTCTAAATATTTAGGCTAATAAATGTTATCTGATTATAGGCTAATCCATATGAAAACTAGAGGAACAGAGGATCTACTCAAACGTGTAATGTAAGCGCTTCCCAATGAGAAAATGACAAGGGTGAAAATCTCGCTCTAATTAAATGTAGGCTAAATGGCTCTGAATTAAAATGTAAAAACAGATCAAATAATGTATTTGTCGAAATGTTGCGATATTGTTTCATTTAAGTTCATAATTTTTTCTATAAATGTTATTTAATTTAGCAGCATTACCACGAAGCACAGTGTTTCGATATTTATTTGAATAATACAAAATCAAATAAAAACTTAATTCACAAATTGCATGCCTGGTTGTAAGGATCCAAAGATCCCTGTAGACTTTAATATTGAGTTGAACATTTTGTTCATGACAACAAATTAACAAGCGTTTTTTCAGATTATATTTAGTTTTGCTTGGAAAAAGCTGCCCCAAACCAGTTTTATTTCATCAATTATTGAAATAATGAAATATTTAGTAATAAACTTTTATGACAGAAATATCACTAGGCTACATGTAATTCCATTTAATTCCTTCATTATCAACACTGTCTAGAATAGCGATTTAAGTGTGAATTGCGACTTCTCTTTGTGTTAAGTCAGCCTCAGACTCCGATAGCCTGTGGGGGGTTGGAGGGACAGTTGCTGGACAAAGGTGTTAATGTTCCTCTTTCATATGGAGAGTGTCGGATAGCCAGCCTGATGAGCAGGCAAAATTATTGTAAGGATAAATCTGTGTCCAAATGTAGGCCCCATATTTTATATAAATTTATAATAGTAGTTTTAGTATATTATAAATATTGTAGTTTATTTATTGTAGCCTATTTAAAGTTTTTTTTTTCACACAAAATTTCAATTGAAGTTATTGTACGGTGAATTCAACAAGGCATGCTGTGTCTTTGAAGCAACAATTAAAGGCTAAATAATTTTTTCGTGATTTGTATGGCTGACACGCAGCGACATATACAGTAGTATTATCAGAGCGAGGGAGACTAAATAAACTTGTTAAAAAGAGATCCAGCGCGAGAGAGGCAAAGAGAAACGCATGTTTTTAATTTAAATATGTTTCTTTGGACAATTTTCGTTTTGTACTGTTTTAATTGTTTAATTTAGCTGTAATTTCTTTGGCAATACGAATTTAAAATGTCGCAAGAATAAGATTAGCCTTAGTGTTTCTTATTTTGCATCGCAAAAGAAATAAACTCTAAACCGATGCAACCCTGTTTTAAATTTAAAAAAAACTGTCCCGACACTTTATTTAAACCTTGAAATGTTCAAACTTGGTTTCAAACATAAGTAATTTTTGTGTTCTTTTACATTACACAATAATTTAGCAGACTAAAGACGAGCTTCTTCTTTTTCATTTTCTGATGCAATCGGCTGACAATCTTCCTTCATCAGTTTTTGTCGTTTGTGCAGCGCTGCGGTTCTACAGGAATGTAGCAAATTTATGTTGTAATGATAATCAAACAAAACTCTTGACTTTAAATAAGTAAAGAGATATAAACAGTTAGCTATTTAAGCATCAAGGTGGGAAAATATAAACGCTGTAGGCCAACATCGGTTAACAACATGTAGGCCTATGCTACATTGAGATTCGATCTCGGGTCGATTGAAGCTCCTCGAAGCTCGTGTCGTTGCGTTGATCACTGAGCTACCGTCTGTACGCTGTTTAAGTTGTAAAGCCTCATTCATGTAGCCTAAATGTTTTTTTTGCAATGTTTTATGTTGAAATGTTTTCATTATTTATTCAATTACATTTCAGTAGCCTAATTTCAGTATTGTGATTATGAATTATTTTAACTACGTTTCACTTGTTGAATTCTTCTGCTACCAGCTTTCAATCGCTCTGAATCAGCGCGGTGCGGCAGCAGATTACGCATTAGAGAAAATAAACCGGAATAAACGAACACTTTTCAGAGTCTATGATTGTAGCGCCTCTTAGCGGTAAAAGGCAGCAAATACACCACACATTTTACCGCCGCGGTGGAACGGCTGATGTGGGCATTGTCATGGCTTGCCTCGACATTTGCGTTTGAATAGCGCGCGTCGTCCGTGGGCGTGTCAGATTAACGCGTAATGAAGTGTAATGAGCTGGGGAAAAAAATACTGACAGCACTCTCTTTTCATACAGATTGCATAAACTGAGAATATTTGTTTTTTATATAAATTACTTCATTTAAAAGAAGAGAATTTAAGCTTCATAAAGAAAAACCTCTCGTGCCTGTGTGACAAGTAATCGCGGAGTTACAGTTAATCTTAGGACACGTTTCAGAATGGACTTCACTGTCAGAGAGAACGCAGAACTCGCATCATGTTTGTTTTTCTTTATTTGGTGAAAAGCACAACACTTTGTTTTTATTGTGAGTCTCCACAAAAAAAATAGAAACTTAACAGGATCTAATGATGTACAACACTTATATGTAAGATCAAAATTAACCGAGTATTTTGAGTCTCTTTTACACTGATAAGAAAAAAAGTGAGACAATCGCGCCGGCGCGATAGCCGACCCCAGGGGGTTAATGTATCATTAATACGTATAAAGTATGACGTTTCGTGTGTAATAATGCCGTTTCGTGTCTAAGCAAATTACGCTCCAAATCGTTAGGTGGCGTTACTCGGTTTAGAACGTAAGCTCCACCCCTCACTTCCGGTCCTGGCGCTGGGGTTAGAACGTAAGCTCCGCCCCTTACTTCCGGTTCTGGCGCTGGGGTTCTGAAACTGGTGGTGCTGCGGGTCTGCAGCTGGATACTATAGTTGCCTTCTGTAGAGCTCCTTACAAGTGAGTTGAACTCGTTTCATAATTGATGAACTTTGCAACATTGACACTGTTATTGAACAGAACTGAATCAACATTGAACTGAATAATCACACCATTATCTTCTGTAGAGCTTCTTTCTCATAATTGATCAATTGTACAACATTAATATTATGGTATTTTCCTGTTTGTTGATGTGAAGCTGCTTTGAAACAGTATAAATGTATTGTGTAAAGCACTATTTAAATAATATATTGTGACATACCAGCCAAAAGAATACCAATAACATTACAAAACTGCAATAGCAAGAAATGAATATATACTTGAGAACAGAATTAGTATGCAGACAACACTAGCACAATGAGTGGAGTATAGCGCAGACCTGCATGATGAGTTGCGCTCAAATAACTAACAAGTCATCATATGTGAATCACTGTGATCATGTGAGCAACACAACAGAAATGCATGAACACTTACCCAGAGTTCCCAGCGGCGGCGTCTGTATGCACGGCTCTCACGGGTCCGGGTCGCAGCCCAGGAGCCAATGTCAGACCCCCTCTGCTGAAGATCCCGTTCGACAGGTTCAGGTTAGTCAGCTGTAAGGGAAACAACAATCATCTACACTGCAGGACACTCGTTTCTCAAAGCATTTCTGTCTTGTTTTCCAGAACAAATATCTAAACTAGGGCTGTCTCTTGTTAGAAAAGCCCATTAATGTAGGCTAATGTTCAGATGCGTGAGTGATGACTGTGTTCCTCATATCTCGTACGAGTTAACATTTTGTGCTTTTGGTTTTGTTTATTATCTTTAAAAATACAGCATAGCTTACATAGAGAGAATCATTTGTTTTTGTAGGCTTTATATTACATATCCATCGTTTGGAGAAGACAGCATTGGGCAGGATCTGTAATAACAGTTAAAAAAATGTATAATAATTTTTTGAAATTTTTCATCCAATTAATCAAAGAATCGAATAAATAATTGACAGATTAATCGATTATCTAAATAATCGTTAGTTGCAACCTTATAATCGAGTAATCTGATTTTTTTTTTGGGTGGTAATAAAAATAGACCTAAGCCTTTAATTACATATATACATATATAATAACAACAACAAGGCCAAATTTAGTTCAAATAAAGTATAAAAAAGCAAGTAATCATATGGTTACATAGAACAACACGGTTAAAATACATAATATAAGCAATCATCTTATGTACATTATGTATTATAACACAAGCCCGCAGAGGCGCCGACAGCCTGGTTGTTGTTAAAGTTTACAGCAGATCAAATCCTGGTTTCATTTAGGCCAAAAGACATTTCATTAAAAATTTTAATTAATCTTTCATATTTGGTTCATTCTTTACAATTTAAATGCTACAGCCACTGTAATTGAACAAGAAAATGTGGACCTCAAAACTTTTTAGAAACAGATTTAGAAACATATTGATGTATTCTGTTGTGTTGGCGTAGGTTTATAAATGATTTATGTTACAAATGAAATGGTTCCCAGATGAACGCTATAAGCAACACAAACTCACAGCGTATGCAGAGATGGAGTTTGAGACGCATGTATAACAGTTCATGAGCAGCGTTTACTGTGAACCGAGTCACGCATGAAAATCATTAAAGCTCATATACGTATATTAAACACATTAAATTCACAATAGCAATATGCAAACGTATGGTTTTTAAATGGTTTTAATATATAGTGCAGCATTAGAAATTGGTGTAATAATGCAGTTCATGGATTCTTGTCTGTGGAATTAAACACTTCCGAGGATTTTTTTAAATCGAGTACTCTATTTACAAAATACATTTACTTGAAAAGCAAAATTACTTAAGATATTAAGTCTTGTTAACTGGAAAATATAAAAAAAAAAAGTGAGTTTTGCTTCTTTTTTTTTAAAGCAACAAAAAACGTCAACAGGGTCAGAAAAATAACCTTGTTTTCCCTTTTAAGTTTATTTTTCTCAATCAAAACTTAATCAAGACTTAATATCTTAAATCATTCTGCTCCTCAAATTAATGTAACTTGACTTAAAGTCGGCATGAAAGAAAACTTGTGATACACATGCATATTCAGTTGCATTTGAACGGGCAGAAATCATGTACACAGTTATTCATTTTCTGTTCAAATATCACTGTAATCTTCCTGAATGATCAGTCTTACATTTGTTTTGTTCTATTATTTACTATATTTCTTTAATTATTATTATATAGTTATTATTCATGCCTTTAGTGCACGTTAGATGTCCGTCAGATGTTCTCTTCATCAGAATAAGCTGCAAAGTGGACCTGATTTTATGAAATGATTAGTTGCCATAACGCTAGCAACATGCAGTGAGGATCCAGGCAGAGCTAAGAGCCTGACCTAGAAAAGCTTGACCTGCGCATTCTGCACTCGTCTGTTTGTGTAAGTGTCAGGCCGGGCGAACGGGAAATGTCCAGCATTCTTCAGAGGCAGGTGTTTAAGACCTCACTGAAGGAGTTTATCTAGAAAAAAGGCAGATTTTAGCTTATGATCTGCAGTCCTGTCAACAGATATCAAACCCTCAATGCTAAACAGCACATTGATTTGTAAAAGCTGACGTTTACAGTAGTGAAGATGAGGATGGAGACTGATTGCACAGTATTTCATTCATATTTCTGCATCTGCAGTTTCGAAAAACGACTGAGCTTGTAGTGTTTTGTTTTGTATCGCAATGCATACACTCCAACAATAAAGGCCAAAAAAACAAACTGTTTCCTAAGCCTCGTTCACACCGCTAGTCTCTGTACTGCGAGTCGCTTGTGGGCGTTCGTAGTGCTGTCGCTCTAATCACGTCTGGCCATATCTATACAAAACACCATCACAAGTGATATATACAACTATATCATTTTAATTTGACCAGGAATTATGCTCAATTGAATAAAAAGTATCAGCTGTTGGGAGAGTGTTTTTATATTACCACAGTGTTCAGTGGATGAAATCATCTACTAGATTAACGATCGATCAATCAACAAATTAAACTCACTCATACGGTCATAAATCACTAAAACGTCACTCGAATTTGACAAATAAATCATTTTTCTTGTCCCTAATAGTTAACATAATGCAGGGGAAACTGTTAAAGGTACAATATGTAGGATTTTTGCAGTAAAATATCCAAAAACCACTAGGCCAATTTTGGTTTAGTTGATTACTTACAATATCCCAAATGTTTCCAACTATTAATAATCGTGAGAAAATTGTGATTTTAACCAAGGAAACGGGGCGTGTGAGCAGGGGTGAGGAGTCGCCAGCCAATGGCATCATATCCGCGTTACCCTCGGTTTCCGCTCGCACTGCCATAGTAACCATGGCGACAGACGTGGACAACTGGGTTACGCCTAGCGAGACGCTCACGCTGTTGTTGTTTTGTTCAAACATTATGGACCATGGCAAGCAGACTTTGAGACAAAAAGAGGACTAGAACGAAGATCAACAGCTTTTGAGATGCCGAGAGCGCCACATCCGCGACTAACTTCGACTCGACAGAGACGCGAGTGTTGTGTGTACTTTATTAGACAGGTGAGCAAATGTACATAAAACTAATCAATGTTATTTAGTTCAACATGATGAAATGTTAGAATATGATATGTATGTTATTCTAATGTTGATCTAGCTTACTCATATAGCCAACACACAACCTAACCTAACTAACAACATTCAACACACTCAAATGGCGTTTAGTGTGATAGTGTAACTGTTAGAGCAAGTGAAGCAGAGCTGCGTTCCCTCAAGTTTCATTCGTCTAATAAACGGACCTGTGAGTAATTCAGCACTTGCGTGTAGTTCGGTGGAATGAAATGTTCTTATTCCTTTATATCCGCGGGACTCGCGTTGCGTGTGGCGCTGGTATACGTCTCTCATTAGCAATCGCGCTTCACACCACAGTCATGTTAAAAACATCACTGCATTCACTCATCCATAAACGATCCATCAGCTTGACGACAAGATCCATAATTACGCTTAATGCTTTGCGTCATCAATATACGCCTTTGTTATTGTAAGAGGTTAGCGACCCCTGGTGGCCAAAAATTACATACTGTACGTTTAAATGAACTGCAGCAGTGCTAAACTAAACATAAAATAACAACACTCGAACTATAGATGTATTAATTAAACTCACTGAGACTGTCGACAGTTTATTTTCCATGCATCATTTTATTATATAAATGTATGTGGTTACAGTCAAATCATATAAAACTGTGAAATCGCCCTCAAACTCGTCGACACTCGAGACTGTGACGTGAACTCCACGTCTTCTTTCCTATTGGTTGTCGCTCGCTTCTCATTTGCATAAAGTTGAAATTCCTGAACTTTTGTTGCGTGTCTCGCGTCACTTGACACGCCCACATTCTGTCGCCAACGGTTACTGTCGCTTGTGTCGCCGGAAGTCGGCAGCGCTCCATTGAAATGAATGGGATCGTGTCGCTTTGTCACTGCGTGTCGCTGGCGGTGTGAACGGGGCTTTAGGAGAAAGGACAATTAACCCTCTGGGGACCAAGGGTTTTTTGAGGCCCTTGGGATGTTTTGACATGCACTGACATTTGTGCTTTTTTCAGTTATTTATAAACATGTTAATGGCAACGGTGTAAATTCACTCTATATAGCACAAACGGGGCTACCATAATATTTGAGCAACATGTATGTACATGTTTGCATTTTTGAGAGAATATTATTTATGCATGGTTATTGAAAAACTTAAAAATAAAAGTTTCTGAAATAAGGCCACAAAACACATATTGATTATTTCTTCACAAGACTTTTGAAAATTGTATCACATAGTCTAGAATATTTGCTCCAAAACTATGTGAGAATCATCCTGACTACTCATTCAGATAAGTCAATAAAGTCTTTTATAATGTGTATGACGTGTTTAGTGTGAGAAAGCTTTATGCGAGGAGGCGTGATCTCTCATTAATATGTATGGCATTTCACACCTGAGAAAGACTCACCCTCCCATAATGGCCCTATTAGGTGTGCTATCAGGCCATATCAGTATGAGGACCCTTGCACAAAGAATGAGGAGATTTAAAAAAAGAATGGCTTTTAGATTGTTTGGATTTATTTACAACACAACATAATCCAAAGATACACAACAAAGGACTGGTTTCTGGTTAAAATTGCTTATATAAAATTGCTTATATATACACTACCGTTCAAAAGTTTGGGGTCGGTACGATTTTAAATACTTTTAAAAGAATTCTCTTCTGCTAACCATGGCTGCGCTTATTTGATTTAAAATACAACAAAAATCGGTTATAGTATTAAATATTATTCCAGTGTAAATCAGCTGTTTTCTGTGTGAATATATAGTAAAGTGTAATTTATTCCTGTGATCAAAGCTGAATTTTCAGCATCACCAGTGTCAGTGTCTTCAGTGTCAAATGATCCTTCACAAATCAGTATAATATGAGGATTTGATGCTCAAGAAACATTTATTATTATTATCAATGTTGAAACAGTTGTTGGTCTGTCAGTTGTTCCGTTTTTTTTCTTTTCTTTTAGGATTCTTTGATGAATAGGAAGTTCAAAAGACTTTTGTAACATTATAAATGTCTTTACTGTCA